AGAAGTTGCATTAAAGTTGTTGTTTTTCTCCAAAATACTGCTCACTACTTGGATTTATTGCCGTTTAGTCTACAACCAGTTCATCTACTACCCAATTGGTCTAATCCCATATGGTCTACACCCAGCCTGTCTACTATCCACATGGTCTAATAATCATTTTGTCTACTTATCATTTGGTCCAATAACCATTTGGGCTAATAACCATTTGGGCTAATATTCATTTAGTCTAATTTCCATTTGGTTTAATCTCCAATATGTCTACTAACCATTTGGTCTGTTGCTTGTTTATTCTAATATACAGTCAGTCTAATTTCCCAGTTTGTCTAATGCCTATTTTCTGTCTATTATCCATTTGCTCTAATAGTCATTTGATCTCAAATAATAATCATCATATTCACCTGTACATGTGACCCGATCTTTGCAGGAAAAAAATTAGGTCAACACATTTCTCAGAGATAAGAGATACTGATTAAAAAGATGTTTTTAACACTATAATCAGTATGATAACAGCTTCTAAATCCAGGGTATTAGTTTAACCTTTAATCTAAAAAGTTTGCTACCCTCTTCATGGCATAGATTGTCGATTAACATCTCCAAAAATTATTCTGCTTAACATCTCAAACAATTATTGTCAACCATCTAGAGTTTGATCAAAGAGGGAATTTTGAGGTCGAAGTCTCGAGGTCAAGAAGGAAAAAAGATTTAAGGAGATAAAAGCCCTCTCGAGCCTCCGTCTACGCCCCTTTGTGGCACGAATAGGTGCATGAAATTGCCATTGGAGGGTAATTAATGCAGTTTAGATCACGTGGTTGATCTTAATATTCCTGCTTCCTTTGAATTTTAAGGGAAATAATTGTATGTATATAGGTGAAATATAAAGATTGGGCATTTTTTTAATCATCATATCCTTTCAAAACTATGATGTACAGTGTAGATGCCTACAATGAGATTTCTGAACCAGTGCTCCAGGAAAAAAAAGTGTTGTTAGAAGTTAAAATTTTTATTCTTAAGAAATTTCCCTTTAACATTGATGCATTCCCATCAATTTGTGTGTATTGATCGTTAAAAGACAAATACACTGTACCTGTTTTTATTAGTCATTTCTTGGCCCCGAAAGACAGGATTTTAACAACTGAAAATATTTACATATAATACTAACATCAAAATAAGCATGAGGGACAACACCAAAAATGCTCACACAGATTGCAAGGAGGAAGGGAAGAACCTGTTATGAATCAGGCCTAATCATACACATGTTTAATTAATAACAAATTTACTCACTTGATAAATATCTCAATTACGCCAGGAAACAAATGATTGATTTCACATACTTTACAGCTCAAGATGTTCCATTGCAATACATTGTAATGGGAGCCTCAGGTGTATAAGGAAGTATAAAGAAAACAATTTGAATACATTGATAATGTTTGATTTAAATCTGTATAAAGTATCTTTTCCTGTGGGACATAACTTCCTCTGTCTAACAACTAGAAACTCTAACTTCAAGTATATCTACATGTACTGGACATGGTGTCATTTTAACCTTAGTACTGTACATGTAGATAAGACAAGGAACTTGTTAAAAGCCCTTGATTGTCTTTTTCCTTCCCAATCAATGCTTTATACTTGATACATACATGTACATGTACAGTGAAAATTGTTCCCTGTACAGGTATATTTTATATCCAATACATTCATTACTAACACTTATAGCGTGTCCACACACAAAACAATTTATCCCGAAACTCTATAACGAAACGTCGCATAAAGAATCATAGTATAAATTTCAAAGTGTCCACACACAAGAAACGTCATATAAATAATCATCGTATATTAAATTCAAGGATGTCCATAAACAGAAGAAAGTAATCCTGAAACTCTACAGTCTGGTCTCCTTTCGCTCGAGGTCGCGTTAAGCCCCGCCCAGTTAGTTACACTAGTTACACTCCCCCTGTCCACACACAACATTTTCCGTGATTAGGCATGATGAGGCGTGATTCTTTATTGAGTTTCAGTTCGAAACGATGCCCAAACCTGCGTTTCGTTAGACTAGTTTCGTTATACGACGTATCGTTAGTGAGCGTCCACACACACAATTTCATTGTAAAACTATCGCGAAACGGTATCACTATCGCGAAACGGTATAGCTAATCACGGAAAATGTTGTGTGTTGACAATCTTCCAAGTCCCTGGTTTTAGATTTAACTGGTCTTATAGCCAAGGGTTGAGCATTATTACTTGAAGGCAGCGCTCAAAATACACGGGGGCGGTGGGCGATTCGCCCCCGTGAGCTACAAAATCGCCCGTCAGGTTGCTCACGGGGGCGATTTTTAATTTTGCAATCGCCCCCGTGAGCAACCTGACGGGGGCGATTTTATAAAACAAAGATAATCTTTTCTGTTATAACTTTAACACAATATTGAGTTTCAATTTTCAAACCTTAAACCAATGAAATGGAACTAAGATTAGCATGCAAGATTTCTTGTTTTATGAGTAGGCCTATTATTACTGATTCAGCTCGCAGTGCAGTGCCGCCGTCAGCAGTGGTTATAGGCCTACTGCGCCGTTAGTAGCGGTGCGTGTGCACGCTGCCGCACCATGTCTGCTGGAGCTGGAGGCGATCGGGCAAGGGCAGAAACATGGTCATGGCCTGGAGAAGTTTTTCGTGGTCAGCAAATAATGAACCTCGACCAGTAAATCAATATTAGGGACTTTTAGATTTGCAAGATGAGAACGTGGACTGCAACGTGTGACCTCCTCTTAAGGCACTGCCAGTGCTTAAAAGGACGTCACATGTGATTGCCAGTGCCTTTAAAGGACGTAACATGTCCACGTCCACGTCCACGTCCACGTCCACGCAAATCTGAAAGTCCCTTTTGAGGAGAAGAGGAAGACCAAAATGTCGTGGAATCAGGGGCGGCGATTTCTGTTAATGACCGGGGGGACGAAATGCGATTTTTTTTTTTATCGAGGATGTTATGTGAGGGAGCGTAGTGACCGAGCGAGATTTTTTTTTGCAATTTTATTAGTCTAAACGCTGCACTCTTGGGCCTTCCAGAGCCTAAAAGTGTGTTGCAGTCATTATTCAGTATATGCTATACAATTTGTTTTGCACTCTTTCAAATTTCCAGGGATGGACGATCCCCCCCCTTAAAAAATTGAGGGGGGGTGGGGGACGTGTCCCCCCCCCCCCCCGGGGTCGCCGCCCCTGCGTGGAATGGTATGATAACATGGGCAGATCTACGGCGGGGGGGGGGGGGGGGGTAGGGGGTTTAACCCCCTCCTCCCACCCCCCCCCCAGCCCCCTTGGGCTGCCAAGTGAAAATGTGATATTAAAGCGGGGGGGGATTCTGGAGAGGAGGACTACTAATCTATTTTATTTTTTTCAGGGGGCGGGGGGAAGTGAAGCGCCGTTTTAGCATGACTTTCTTTTTAACTCTTACTTTCACCTATCTCAGATAACCCTAAGTTTTTGGTTGCTGCTTTATATGTAGTTGATAATGCATGATTAAAATAAAGAGAGAGAGAGAGAGAGAACCACCATCATTTTGCAATGGTTCAGGGTTCGTGTAATGTACATGTACATTTGAAACAATTTCTTAGCGTCTCAATCCTAAAAAAAATAGCAAAACTATTTTTGAGGAAAAGCATTATACTGAATTAAATAAAGAATAATAGCTTTATATTGGATCATACTAATACTGATACGGGCTAAAGACAATGTGGTATTTGTATAGAGGTATTCCAAAATGACATTTTGATAATCAACATTTGTTCTGGTATCATATGTATATACGCATAATACAACTGATCTTTATGATTTCTTAACGTGACATAGCTTCTTCTCCCTCTGCAAACAAAACAGAAAACAAGGTTATTTAATAAAAGGACCATGCGACAAATAATCATTGTGATTCAAATTGATGCAAGGATTTTTTTGAATATGCAATGCTTTCACCAGTATCTTCTTTGTAAAAACGACTTTTACAAATCTCAGCCATGCAATTCTGCCACTGTGCTGTAAGATCACTTTGAGATTAGGAGAAGTGTATTATGTAATGGGTATTTTAAATTGAATGGAACGTCTCAACTCAGTAAGCATGGCTGAGATTTGTAAAAGTTGTTTTTACAAAAATGATTCGGGTGAATAATAGTGCTTATTCAAACAAATATTCGCATCAATTTGAATCACAATCATTATTTGTCGCTTAATCCCTTTTAATGACCATGTTTTCTTTTTCGTTTGCAAGGGGAGAAGAAGATATGTCACGTTAAAGACATCATAAAGATCAGTGTTGTATGCGTATATATTATATACACAGGCCAGTAACAGCTATGTAGCTTGTAAATTTGTAAGAGGGAAAATGCTGATTGAAATGATAATGATGAAATAGCAAATAATTGAGGAGTGTCATACATGTAGGTACCAATTCAATGGATATTTGTATAAAAAAGAGCCCCCGTCAGTAATAAAAGAGCCCCCATGAGAAGGCTCACGGGGGCTCTTTTTTCGGGGGAAGAGCCCCCGTGGACAAAAAATTAATTTGTGCCCTGCTTGAAGGTCATGTATAGGTTTGGTACGCCCTCACAAACTTTTGGAAGAATTCTTTGATTCTAGATGATAGATAGGAAGATGCTATAAATACTGCTAAATTTTTATTTTTCTCCTCAAGGGGCTCCATCTCTCATTAACAAATGAGAGGTAAAAAAAGTAACTAGAAATATCGCAATCTCCATTGCCGCCCAATGTATCCCCCAGCACTGGCAGCAATTTTTGTGTCATCCTTACGTTCACAGGAGGGACAAAGATCCCCTATCCCCTCCCTGAAACAATGGATGACGTAGAGATCGCCACTAGTGGCTCGGACTATCGTTAAGACTAGGAGCAGCATCCATAAAATTTGAAAGAAATGTGTCAAGAAATGTGATCAGCAGAGCGACACAAGATAGATAGATAGATAGATAGATAGATAGACAGAGAGATAAGAATTACATCTTACCACATTGGTTTGAAGTGAAGTCTTCTCTTGGCAAAACTGTAGGACCTTGCAGACTTCATCTGAATTCTGGTTAAAAAAAAAAAGGCAAAAGAAAATTCAATGGTTATGATAAGTTCCTTTATTATTATTCATTATCCTCATAAACTATTTTCTGACTTGTACTTCACTTGGCTAATAAGAATATATTAAAGATGAAGTTGAATTCTGATCATGCGATTGCATTGTGAACTGGGTGGAATCGATCAGAAAAAGTTGATCATGTAGCATAAGTATTGGTGTACTGCAAGGTTCTGGAATCATCAAAATGATAAGAAAATTGGCCCAGTCTTGGTAAAAGAAACAATCATTGTACACAGAAAGATGGGACTACACAAACATGTGACATAAAAAAGTGATCCACATTTTTAAGCTCTTACATTTAGAATATGAAGGCATTTGAAGAGCCATGCTTTTCAGGGAACATTTTTCTCTCTCATGTTCTTCCACACTTGCATAATAACAATGAAAATGCTCACATTTTTCACCTCTCCCCAGAACTCAACCTTCTCTTTAAACAAGGAAATGGAAGTACATATGTACAAACATGTACATGTACTTTGTAAGACATAGCTTTTTGAATAAAGAATTGCAACCAAAAGTGACATGTTTGTCTCCTCTTGACAAGAATAAATGGAAGAAAATATTTGGACAATTATACGAAACTGAACTTAAACCCGATAGTCATCCTGACAATCAAAAGTAAATGATCTTAAAGAGATTAACCCGTTGACTACTGAATTATCTAATTCCCATAGACTTACCACAGGGACCACCAGGTTCCAGTAAGCAATGGGTTAAAATGGTATTAGGAAGTTTCTGTATTTCACAAGACTGTGTTGCCTTTCATGCGATCTGAAACTTGATGTTCAATTACTTTCGTCTTACAATTGTAAACAATGTACAGTACTTGCTCTCTTAAAGTGATAATGGGTGTCCTAATATCAGTAAGCAATGTATAAATGATATTACAATCTTGAAAATCCCATTATCTTGTCAATTAATTCTTCATGGTATTTTCCATAACTGTTATAAACAAAGTTAGCCAAGGTTAATATTTCAAAGCAATTATGAGTAATAAATTTGATAGTGTTTACCGATTATGACTGACTCTGCATTGGTTTCATTGTTCATAATAATTATAATGATTATAATGATCGGCTACGATAATTTAAGGGCCTCGTTTTAACACTATTAACTGGTATCAGGAAGTTTCTGTATTTCACAAGACTGTGCTGGCTTTTTTGTGATCTTGATGCTATTACTTTCGTCTTACAATTGTAAACAATGTAAATGTAATCTTAAAGATACTGTATGTCCCTTTTGCAGCCAACATCAAGTTCTGTAGAACTTTGCAAGAATTATGAATATGTCATGTATGTCCTATCTGTGAAATTTAAATGTTAGCAGTGTCCTAATATTCAAATTATGCAAGGAAACCCGTTAACTTGCGAGACTTCACTGCCAGACACTATTGAGTGACTGACTGGCTTTTTTTCTTTTTTGGTAATAGCATACATAAAATGAGCTGTAAAGGGTACATGAGCATTTGTCTACATCAATAACCCACTTCTTGTAATGACCAAAATTAGACTGATTGAATCTTTGCGCAGCATAAAACGTACGACCATTCGGTACAATGGTCTAAAAATCAGACTATTACTTACTGGCTCTATAGCTCTGAAGTCGATTCAACACCTAATAGTCTTTATTTTCCCATTTTCAGACATTTTAAGGCCCCCTTTTTTTATAGGAAAGTTCTAAATTAGTATTATCTTTCAAATGCCGTTGGAATTTAACCCTTTCATTTTTTTGGCCTGCAAATGGGACATAGTACCTTTAAAGATAAACTTGAGTTCTGGTACATATAGAAAATAAATCCTCACAGAATCCAATGAAACTTACACTGAATGTTCAACATTACAAATAAATGACATACATATATGTCCAACAATTTCGGTATAAAATGTATAGTGGTCGAGTAATGGGCACAGAAAGATAAGGAAATCCAGATACTTGTAGGCCTGACAAGTGACATCTTGTGCTTAAACACAGGTCACTATGTGCAAATGGGAGTTGTGGTTTTTATCGAAGATGATACCCAGTATAAATGGTATCACAATCTATAAAATCCCATTATCTTTGCAATTAATTGTTCATGTTATTTTCCATAACTGTAATAAACAAAGCTGCACAAGGTTTCTATGTCAAAGTAACACAAGAAATGCAATTATAAGTAATAAATTTGATAGTGTTTATCAATTACGACCGACTAAATTGGTTTCATTGTTCATAATAATTAGAACAATTATAATCATTGGCTACAATAATCAGAGGACCTAGCTTAAACATTATAAACTGGCCAAAGGACCATTCTTAAAGTGGGACTGTACTACTTGCAGCTACTTGCGCCCTCTATACAGCATACAATGCCTATTGGTATCCGTTGGTCCCCTTTTTCTTACATGTATGTTATGGAGAGCTGATTTGATGAGATAACCACTTGTCAGTGACCAGGCAGGGTGGTCTAATCCCTCCTGGCCAAACTAGTGCAGATAGGCTTTCAGTCCCTTTTCTATCCCGCTATAGATTTGTATTTCAAGTAAATTCTTCTTACGTCACATGAGAGAAATCCCTCAATATCTCTTAATAGGTTTAGAGGTTAAAAAACTCATCGGCTCCTTGGTTTAATCTTGTTCCAGCCATGCTATTGAAGAGCGGGATTTGACACCAGGGTAGGTATTAAAGGACAATTCAACCCTTGTAATACTGTAAGTCGATTTGTATGAAAGCAGAAAAGTAACAGAAACAGAATGGCAACAGGTTTGAAATGATTTGGACCAATAGTAAGGAAGTTATGAATGTTTGAAAAATTTGAAATACGAGATCACTAAGTCTAAATAAAACATATCATTGATTTCTTTTGTTCTCATAAGTTCCTTCTCCCTTGGGTCACATACTTTAATTAGATCAGTGCATGACATGTTGGATGGGTAGATTATTAATTAATGTGTATGTACAGTGTATGTAGTTATTCAAAATGTTAGGCTCCTTGAAAGTAAATGTACATACATGTATCATCTCCATACGGTTTACAAATAAAAATTGTCTTTGGTTCGTATTCTACTATTCCAGTTGAACCCGACCCTAGGTCAAAAATCATGTTTAACAGAGGCCGAAACCCAGCTTCAGGTTTGAATAAAAAGCAGAATATGGCCCTTTATGTTCATGACACATCAAAGGGTTCAGGATTTTGAAGTAGCCTAAATTATGCAAATACATAATGTACACTGTACATGTAGGAGGAGGAACCAAAAATATCAATACAACAAATTGGACCATACACAGATTAGATGAATTTCCAGGGATGACCATGACTTTATCATTAAAAAGCTATGAACAAAGTGAAGAAGAAAAAAAAAAGTGTACAAACAAACAAACAATACGTCAAGTTTCACTTTAGCCTTTTACATGGCATCATAGAAGAGTCAAAAGGAAATCCTTGATTGGATAAGAAATTAAAAATACATCATAATCATCACACACTAACAAAACAGAAGATTGGTCAGGAAGTAAGGAACCATTACTAAAACACATGATTGCGGTCAAGAACAAATGCTGCAGAAAAAGTTTTAAAGATTAACCAAGTTCTAGTAATGGAAGTAAATGAATCTACACTGTAGCTGAATCAAAAGAAAATCAGAGCTAAGAACAATGTACAAGGGAAATGATAGACATACAGTACAATATACACATTTATGCTAAATAATTTTGGTAGAAAATAATAGTTCTGATGAATGAGTGATGATAAGAATCTAAAACACTAAGTTTGTCTCCATGACACAAGTTCCTAACATATATGGTCTCCAATCCTCTATGTGCAAATATGTTGCACTTTTCAGAGTATGATATTTCCAGTAACTTTTTGTTAATTAGTTTACATTTGAATGGTCTAAGAGTGAACCTTAACGCCGTTCTCTCTACCCTGTTCTCTATTTTGCTCCTACCCTCCCCCTCCTCTCTATTTCAATTAACTTATTCAACTTAAGCTGTTATGAATTTCGTTAACCATTACTGTAACCAGCCTGACTGTAACTGTCTATGATCATGATAATTTTTTTGTTGTTTTTTTTTTTGTTAAATGATCTTTGTAAATTTTTACCAGTGAAACACAAATTTCCAAATGGACAACAAATACTCTTTTTCAATTTCTTAATTTCAATTTCATGTTCTCTTTATCTTTCTCCCCTTTTTTAAAAATTGAATTCTCTCTTTCCTTTTCTCTCTATCTCTCCCTCTCTCACCCTTTCTACACATTTCTCTCTCTCTCCCTCCCTTCTCCTTCTCTCTCTCTCTCTCTCTCTGCCTTTCTCTTACTCTCTCTTTATCTCATATGGCTCTGAACAACGTTATTTTGTATGGCTCTGACCAACTTTTCCTCCTCCTCTTACCAATTCGGTGACCAATTTCTGCAGGACTTCAGCTCCGAGGGTCTCCACAAGAGTCTGACAGAGCCCAGAGAGACTGTCCATCACGACGCAGGCCTGCTTGGCTCCATCAATGATTTCAGTCTGTTGGATGGAAAACATTCAGACAATACAGCTCATGTTAAACCCTTTGTAGGCAAGACATTTTATGAACTGATCGATCAAATTTTAATTTCAATTTGGCAATGATTATAGTTTTCTTTTATTGACTACCTTGTTCTATAAATACAAAATGTAATGTCTCTGAAAAAAAGTGTAAATGGGTGTTGACTATGCCAAATAGTTTTTAAATGTAAATTTTAATAGAAAAACAGTGATTTGTATTTTGAACCTTTCAATGTATTGCCAATTTAAGGAATTTAAGGCTTCTTCTCTTTCTAAATATTCCTGGTGTCAAAGGCGTTATTGTCACACAACAAAACCAGACAAATGTTTGGCCTTTCTTCTCATGCATCTACAGTGTACAGTACAATGTAGTTCTTTATTTTAGTTTTCTTACACCCAATCAAGTTATATCTTATCCCCTTCCTCTACCGACTTATTTAGAATTGGTGAACTGAAAATGGTATAAAAAAACATTCTAAATGATGACAAGGATTTTGACATTTTATGAGGATTACAGGAAAGTTAGAGTTAAAAGTTAAAATTCACCTGAATAGATGTCTGCTCCAGCACGTTGTGTACTGCGTTGATGAAAGCTTCACAGTCTGAGCATGTTGATGATTCCTAGACGAGAGAAAAAAAGAAAAAAAAATGTCTGTCAGTGTTAACACACCACTTTAAACAGTTAACAACTAAATTATTCATACCCTTACCAAGTCTAGTACTTTCTTAGTACCGGTATATAACAATTGATTTGTCCCGCTTACTTGAGAATGTGACATATTAAAGTTTTCATCTAAAAATATTCAACAAATCCCTAATTCAACCAGTCCACCTTTTATTCTTGAGTTACAAAAAAACAAAAAAACATCAAATTTACAGGGATTATGGATAATTTAGATGTTAACAGTACATGTACATATGTAGAATTTTGCTGGTGCATTTTTACAATACTATACACACAAAATGTACAAAGGTTATTTTTGTTGTATCCTGCCTATAATGTATGTCAACCTATTTGTGTGCATACAGTATGTGCTGCCTAAACCTCAAACGCATTGATAGTTGTTTCTTTTTCATTGTTTTAGTTCCTGCTTGTTAATTATTATCTTAAAAACCTAACAACTGGAAATAAAGATCAATAACCTCATTTGTTCCGAGCAGCGCTCAAAATACACGGGGGCGGTGGGCGATTCGCCCCCGTGAGCTACATAATCGCCCCTGTCAGGTTGCTCACGGGGGCGATTGCAAAATTAAAAATCGCCCCCGTGGAATTATAAAATAAAGATTATCTTTTCTGTTATAACTTTAACACAATATTGAGTTTCAATTTTCAAACCTTAAACCAATGAAACGGAACTTAGATTAGCGTGCAAGATTTCTCGTTTTATGAGTAGGCCTATTATTACCGATTCAGCTCGCAACTGCAGTGCCGCCGTCAGCAGTGGTTATAGGCCTACTGCGCCGTTAGTAGCGGTACGTATGCACGCTGCCGCGCAATGTCTGCTGGAGCTGGAGGTGATCGCGCAAGGGCAGACACATGGTCATGGAGAAGTTTTTTTGTTGTGAAAGCGTTAACCCGCTGAAATCTAGTGATTTCAAATGACCAGCAAATAATGAACCTCGACCAGTAAATCAATATTAGGGACTTTTAGTTTTGCACAATGAGAACGTGGACTGCAACATGTGACCTCCTTTTAAGGCAGTGTCAGTGCTTAAAAGGACGTCACATGTGACTGCCAGTGCCTTAAAAGGACGTAACACGTCCACGTCCACGCAAATCTAAAAGTCCCTATTGAGAAGAAGAGGAAGACCAAGATGTCGTGGAATGATATGGTAACATGGGCAGATCTACGGGGGGGGGGGGGGGGGGGGGGGGGGGGGGGGGGTGGGGGTGGGGGGGGGGGGGGTGGGGGGGTTTGGGGGTTAGGGGGTTTAACCCCCTCCTCCAACCCCCCACCCCCCGGCCCCCTTGGGCTGCCAAGTGAAAATGTGATATTAAAGCGGGGGGGGGGGGGGGATCCTGGAGAGGATGACTACTAATCTATTTTATTTTTTTCAGGGGGGGGGGGAGTGAAGCGCCGTTTTAGCATGACTTTCTTGTTAACTCTTACTTTCACCTATCTCAGATAACCCTAAGTTTTTGGTTGCTGCTTTATATGTAGTTGATAATGCATGATTAAAATAAAGAGAGAGAGAGAGAGAACCACCATCATTTTGCAATGGTTCAGGGTTCGTGTAATGTACATTTGAAACCATTTCTTAGCGTCTCAACCCTAAAAATATAGCAAAACTATGGGTTAAACCCATAGGGGGTTTAACCCCCTCCTCCAACCCCCCACCCCCCGGCCCCCTTGGGCTGCCAAGTGAAAATGTGATATTAAAGCGGGGGGGGGGGGGGGGGATCCTGGAGACGAGGACTACTAATCTATTTTATTTTTTTCAGGGGGGGGGAGTGAAGCGCCGTTTTAGCATGACTTCCTTTTTAACTCTTACTTTCACCTATCTCAGATAACCCTAAGTTTTTGGTTGCTGCTTTATACATGTATGTAGTTGATAATGCATGATTAAAATAAAGAGAGAGAGAGAGAGAGAAACACCATCATTTTGCAATGGTTCAGGGTTCGTGTAATGTACATTTGAAACCATTTCTTAGCATCTCAACCCTAAAAATATAGCAAAACTATTTTTGAGGAAAAGCATTATACTGAATTAAATAAAGAATAATAGCTTTATATTGGATCATACTAATACTGATACGGGCTAAAGACAATGTGGTATTTGTATAGAGGTATTCCAAAATGACATTCTGATAATCAACATTTGTTCTGGTATCATATACGCATAATACAACTGGTCTTTATGATTTCTTAATGTGACATAGCTTCTTCTCCCCCTGCAAAAACAAAGACAACAAGGTTATTTAATAAAAGGATCATGTGACAAATAATCATTGTGATTCAAATTGATGCAAGGATTTTTTTGAATAAGCAATGCTTTTCACCAGAATCTTCTTTGTAAAAACGCCTTTTACAAATCTCAGCCATGTAAATCTGCCACTGTGTTGTAAGATCACTTTCAGATTAGGAGAAGTGTATTCTTTAATGAGTATTTTACATTGAATGGAACGTCTCAACTCAGTAAGCATGGCTGAGATTTATAAAAGTTGTTTTTACAAAGAAGATTCGGGTGAATAGCAGTGCTTATTCAAACAAATATTCGCATCAATTTGAATCACAATCATTATTTGTCGCTTAATCCCTTTTAATGACCTTGTTTTCTTTCTCGTTTGCAAGGGGAGAAGAAGATATGTCACGTAACACATCATAAAGATCAGTGTTGTATGCGTATATATCAGTTCAGTTCAGTTCAGTTCATTTTATTCAAAACCATACAAAGCATGATATAATCTGTTACACAAAAAAGAGACTGGTAATAGTACATCAATCAACATATTCTAACTTGATTACATCATAAACTGAATGGTTTTAGGACCTCTTTAGAAGCTAAGCTTGTGAGCGGGGCCCTAGTGTCAACAAAATACATACATTTACAGTAAAAAGAATGTTACGTATGATTATATAATGGATGAAAATACTAAGCTACAGAATATAGAACATACAAATACTCTCACACACACATACGCACACACACACGCACACACACACGCCCATATACAGCAAACACACTGACGAGTAGGTCCTTAGTGGTCAAAAAGCATTTCAGAATAAGAAATTACTAGGATGCAAATAAAAACTATGTCAGTCTTTCAAGCAGGTACGTTTTAGATAAACTTCTAAACCTAGAAAAAGTTGTACTATTTTTTATATCATCAGGCAGACTGTTCCATTCTTAAATGCAAGAGATATGGAAAGAGGTCAGAGTGACATTTGTTCTTGCGAAAGGCTGTCGAATAAGACACCTTTGACGTGTTATGAATTTGCGAGTTCTGACAGAATAAATCTTTTAACGTACATTCATGAGGCATAGACTTAAGATTAAACATAAACAATATGCAATTGAACGACACAAGTCCACTTAGTGGTAACATTCTTAGTCGAAGGAACAATGGAGAACTTGGATGTCTATAATAAGAATTAGTAATAAGCCGTATTGCCTTCTTCTGCCATACTCTCAACTTATCAAGATATGACTTAAAAGTGTTTCCCCAAGCAACATTACAATATGTCAAATAAGGAAGAATAATACTATTATATAATGTTATCAGCACTCTTTCAGGTAAAATAAATTTTAATCTAAAAATGACACCTACACTACGGGACAACTTTGTGCATACAGCATCTAAATGATTTCTCCAAGATAAATGCTCATCCATGTTTAAAACTAAGAACTGAACATTTTCACTAAGCGCAACATCATGGCCTCCAACATTAATAAAAGTAATGCCATCTGGAAGCTTTTTACCCTTGGAGCGAAAAATAACACATTTGGTCTTTTGAACATTCAACAATAACTTATTACAACAATACCATGCATACAGTTTCTGAATCTCTTGATTCGCAATTAGTAATAAATCTTCAGCCTTCTTATCAGCCAACAGCAAGCTGGTATCATCAGCAAAAAGTGAGTATGAGAATAATGTTGATGAGTGTATTACTGTATATCATTTATATAGATCAGAAACAACAGGGGACCAAGAACAGAACCCTGAGGTACACCATATTTAATAGAAGCAAGTTGAGAATTAGTACCATTCACCACAACAAGTTGTGTCCTGTCAAACAAATAGCTTTGGAACCAAGACAATGCTACACCACGTATTCCATAATGCTCAAGTTTCCTGAGGAGGATGCCATGGTCAATAGTATCAAACGCCTTTAGATCTAAGAATATCCCCAAACAATACTTGTTTCCATCAATAGCTTATATGATATTACTTAATAAATTAAACACACCCATTTGTGTGGAGAAGTGCTTACGGAAACCACACTGCTGAGGAATCAAGATATTCTTTTTAGATAGAAACTCATTTATTAAAAAAGCGTTATATATTATATACACAGGCCAGTAACAGCTATGTAGCTTGTAAATTTGTAAGAGGGAAAATGCTGATTGAAATGATAATGATGAAATAGCAAATAGGAGTATCATAGGTACCAATTCAATGGATATTTGTATAAAATAACGCCCCCGTCAGTACTAAAAGAGCCCCCGTGAGAAGGCTCACGGGGGCTCTTTGTTGGGGGGAAGAGCCCCCGTGGACAAAAAATTAATTTGAGCCCTGGTTCCGAGCATGTGTTGGCTCGATCACATTACGAAAATGACCCTAGATTACAACAACAAAATTGAGAATGATTCTTTGTCTAAGGCTCTATTACATATTTGTTCAGCCATATACATGTAATGCTTCTAGAACCTGACTGAAATAGTGCCAATTTCCAAGGGCTTGAACATACAGTGTATATATATTTCATAAATTCTCTTCAAATCTCTTGCTTATGCTAGAATCATGTGAACATCTCCAGCGATTTACATCAAACAGACCCATGCCAGTGGTTCCCAGGGGCTAATACTGCATACAAGAGAGATTACATGGAGGTGGTACAGGGTGTACCGGGAATATGATCTTTTATTTAGAGATTCAAGATTTTAATGACTTCCCTTTGTATATTGTGGATCAAAGAAGAAAAGCTTAGTTAGAATCTTCTCAACTACAGTGTAGTTTCAGGGATTTATAAGTGATTTGAGCTGCCACATCACTAATTAAATACATACATGTACATGTATGATGTACATGTATGACATGTACTGTACATGTATGTAATATCATACTTATAGAAATATTACATTATTGTATTCATTTCTTCTTCACGTGTATGGATGTCCATTCAAATTGGCAAATTAAGAGAGAATTGAATGAATTCAAACAACATTTTACACAATCCCTTTATAATCAAGGAGTTTTTCCCCAAAATATGTAATGTAATATGTCATTGTAATGATAGGACAGATCTTAACCCATATTACATTGTGGATAATTTTTGTTTTGCCATTTCCTGATTTCTCCTCTCATGACAGACCGACACAAGAATTGAACACAGGGAATTTTTCTTGAGGTAATTTGAGAACAAGACAGGGGACTGCTGCCAATATGGGATTCCCCATAACAAGGAACCTCCTTTCAAAAAATCAACCCTATATTTCTGTGTACAACATTGCTTGTTACTTTTATCAAGTTTCCAGAACCTTGCAGTACACACCAATACTTACATACTACATGATCAACTTTTTCTGATTGATTCCACACCGTTTCTTTCAGAATGCAATCACAAGACCAGAACTCAACTTTATCTTTAAGCCTGAATTCTTCCATCTTTAAACTACTCAACTCTATATTTTCCAGTCTACCAGATTCTCTTCTTTTACCCGTCCCAATATCAAAACCATGTTTGTTAATTGGAAGATATCTGACTCTGGAGGCACAGTACCGTAATCTGCTGATAACATACATGTATGTATGATAAATGTTGATTATTTAACTGATTAAATCAATGACATCCACTTGAAATAAATAAGTAAACAAGGGTAAAAAACTAAAAATAAAAGATCACTGGAGGTTATCACAGTTCTAAACAAATCACAACTTGAAAGATAACAAAGGGGGTGGATACAAAAAAAACCAACCAGTGGAATGGTAGATATTGGATTATCTACTTAGTGCATGCTACACATATTATTGTACCAGTACTCATCATAGCAAAACAAGAAAACATAAAAAACAGTTTGTTTTTTTTACTACACAGTAACAAAATATTGGGGTGTTTTTTAATGACTAAAAAATACTCTAATGGAATCATACATGTAGCAGTCATCTGGAGTGTCATTTGGAGTGTCATTTGGTGATAATTTATTTGAACTTTGTTATAAGCAAGGCAAAGTCTACACACATTTTGGATTTGTGTATCACACACACGTACATGTACACATCTGTAAAGCGCTTTGAGAGGGCCTTCGGTCTTGAAAAGCGCTATATAAGAACTAGCTACATGTATTATTATTATTATTATTATTATTATTTACACTAGACATACACAAACACCCTTGAAAGAAAAAAAGAGGAGATATCAGTATGTACCGGTAATGTATACTGACAGTAATGATTCAGTAATTGAGCAAAATAAACTGCAGGTACCATTTAGCTGCCAGACAGGGGCAATAGGGCAACCACATGGTTGAACCCTGGATATGGTGAATATCATCATCAATTTAATTTATTCAAAATCTTTTGAGCACCAGACAGGGATACACTATTACATGTATAAGACAAAAGGTGGTTTAAAAATACTCAATATGATTAAACTACTTTTCAACAGAAGTTTGTAAACGCTTGGTCCAAAGTGAGTGAAAGGACCATTGCAATTGTGTTGGTTTAACATGTATGCATTAACATAAATTTATCACCATTTTTATTTCCCTTGTCAGGGAAAATTATATTATTTTTTTTTTCTGAAGCCTTCCATGCTTGGTATAAGCACCTTTTGTTAAGCACTAGAAAAATCCTGAATACTTTTAATTAACCCTGTAAGTTGGGGCTTTGATCGGATAGGAAGATCAGAGTGACACCCTCACACCCTGGATTGGTATTGGCAAAAAGTATCTTTTTTTTTTCTTTTTTTTACTGTTGTACATGTACTTTAAATTTTGAGCTCTCTAATACCTAAATTCACTCATACCTTGGATAATTTCTCTCATTTGAAGTTGTTGTAGGTCATGTTTAAAACTACAGTATTCATGCCATCAAATGTCAAAAATTGAAAAAAAGATCATAAGAAGAAAAAAAATGCTGAAAATGATATTAAATACCTCCAAAACCATCTTGGATTATAATGACAATGGACAAAAATGGGTGCCTACATTAAAATGGCGGCTCGCATGTTTTACCTCTTCTCTTAGACTAATATTATTAATTTCAAAGTCATGAAAAAACACTTAAAATCAACAAACATGGTCTACAACAACTCCAAATGACAAAATATTCCTAGCGATGCTTTTTCTTTTAGTATTTGATAGCCCCAAACTTGGAACATTTTGGGCATTTTTTTTTCACCTTTTTTTGTTTACCATTAATTTTCCAATCATTTTCATTGCTCGGCGATCAGAATTTATTATCCGATTTCACCTGATCGGCCGACGATCAGCCCCGATCTGATCATCGGTTACAGGGTTATTGCACACATAGCTGCATTACTATCCTGGCTGTGTGTTAAAAGCTGTTCTATTAATTCTCAACATTTCAAACACCACTGTACAAAACTTGACTGTTTCACTCGACATTGGTACTTTAGTGAAAATTGATGACACCTAAATAGCAGTAAAATACAATTGTTCAACTTATTGATGTTAGAAAAAGTAATTTAAAAATTCAAATCGTGAGTCTCCTTTCAACTTTCCGATCAGCTGCATCGTATTTATTGTGTGCATTTGTGTGTATTGACTATTCATGTGTGCAATTGCAGCCTCTTAGCACGTACATGTAGTGCAGCGCTAGAGGTCAATACGCATTAGCATTGACTCTCTATGCTTTGCTGGAGTGGGTTATATTGTACTTACTTGAACGAGTTTGCCCTTCCAGGAGTTTTGGATACAGTACTCTACGGCCCCACATTCGTCTGCATGCGAAGCACTTCGGCACCAGTAGGAGGCACCTTCACTGCATTGTGATCTGTAGATCGCTGCAGGGTTTATTGCACTAGCTGAAAGGCAAAGAATGAATGAATAAATAAACTTATTATATACAGGAACATAATAATCACAATGTAAGTTGTGCTTGGGATAAGGATATCAAAGTAATAAACAGAGAGATAAGTTTGTTTCTTTAATACACCCTTTCACGGTTACAAAAGTGCGCATGCGCAGACATGGGCGCCATTTTAATTAAAGAGCAAACAAAGTTGTTTACTCATAAATTAAAATGGCGGCCATGTCAGTATGATGTGAGCACACAGCGCAGGTATTGACGCAACAATACATGCGCATCTGAAAACATTGATGACACAATGTTTACACGCAAATTAAAATGGCAGCCTTAACCGACAACCATGAAAGGGTGTATTTTATAAATTTAAAAAAATCTTCTGGCTAGGTAAACAAAAGATTGATTGAAAGCTGATCAAAAAACTAGAAACAGATCACACAATTTTTCGCTGTTTTTCAACCAGACATCAACATTTCAATTTTGGAATGTTATGAAATGAAGATAATTAGATCTAACTCTTGGTAACATTACAAGTTGGGAACTCTGTGTTATAAAAAAACATCACTCCACAGCATCATTTTACAAAACAGTCAAACAAGTTTGACTAACTTGTATCATGACACTGAAGGTTTTTGTGAAACAATTCTCTAAAGGCTAAAAAAAAAAAACTATAAAAAACCTTTAAGTCTCTATTTTTAATTTTACTTTGAATTTGAAACTTTTATGATAGACTAGACTCTAGTCTAGAATCTAGATCTACTCACTGTCTAGAAAATATTTTTTCATAATTATTCTTCATTTCTTTCTTTCCTTAATAATAATAGAGTCTACAACATGTGCTATTAATAAAAACTGTAATCTGGGCAAACCTTTGAGGAATGAATGCAGTCTTATCTATTTTCAACAACAAAAAAATGAAACGACAAAATGTCAAATTCTCAAAACTCAAAAGAAATGCCAAGCCCAAGGGCAAGGCCCAAACGGAAATTATTGATAAATAAAACAATATACTATAGATCTAGGGTCTAGACCTATTGTTAATTATTAGAGCTAAATAACATTATATGTTGTTTGCACAAAGCTATTACGCATGTTTGTCGAGGCCTTAACTTTTTTTAAATTAAGATCAAAGGCGAGATCTAATCATATTTGCCTATCGCGGATCGCGAGGCCGAGTGCAGTGATCGTGATACTGAGAACTAACTAGCACCAAGTACGAACGCCCGACCCATGGTAAGCCCTTGCCCCGAGAGTTCCCCGTGTGCAACAGACACTTCTCCGCAACATTTTTCTCAATCTTATCCTCAAAGTATTTGATAGTTACTCACCGGCAGCAAATAATGCCGCAAATATAACAAGGGTGTTCATCTTCCTTGTGTTGAACCTTCCGTCAATTGATTAACAAAGTAAATGACAAAGCCCTCAGTGATTGTGTAGTTATGAAACAAAACAATATTGCAGGCTCTTCTTTCTGTCACTCGCTAATAATCAGTATAAAATACACTGACATTGTTTTGGATAGATGATAGGCATATCACGTGCACATGAGGGTCGCGCGTAGCAATATGACAACATTTCTGATTGGCCAAGGCTTTTTATCGTCATGCTGTAAAGTACTGAGATATTAGAAACAATATGAATACTTAAATTCATTTTCTCATCGCCTTAGTATATATGATAATTTTTATAGATTTAATTGCACAATTTTGTGTTAATTTAGATTTTTAAAATGGATTATATGCCATGTATCAATATTGTAGAATCGCGTAAGCGGCCAATCGTATCAAGCATAACATCAGGGGCAGTAGTTTTCGGAAGTAGCCTGTATGAAAAGCGTCACATGATTCGGTGGCTAGCTAGCTAGGTATTTGTTTCGAATGCGTGGGCCTAGCTTTTGTGACCCATGATCAGTCTGTGGTGAACTTTTTCTTCTTCTTTCGTTAATATTATTAATGCTTTGACTTCTTGTTGACCACAGCGATAACCAATCAGTAATTTGACTCATTGAAATGACCCCTTTTTTGTTCATAATTTGATCCCGCCCCGGCCCCGGCCCCATGATGCGTGCAGGCGCGGATCCAGGATTTCTTAGGGGGGGGGGGGGGGGGGGGGGGGCCCAAATTTGAAATTATGCGAGCCAAATATTGGTGCGTTATGGTGACCAACAGTGACGTAATGCGGGGGGGGGGGTCGGTGCAAGGGGGGGGGGCGAGTTTCCCCTCCCAGGCTTTGACGTTTCATTATATTATTAGAGAAAGAAGACGATTCGTTGTACCGTTCTCGACTCTTATAATCCTTGTCTAAATTCAGTCCCCCCCCCCCCCTCCCCCCTCCTGCGCGAAGCGCGGAAGCTTTGACGTTTTAATAAACTATTAAAGAAAGAAGACGATTCGTTGTAACGTTCTCGACCCTTTATCCTCGTCTGATTTCAGTTCCCCCCCCCCCTCCCGCGCAAAGCGCGGAAGCTTTGACGTTTTATTAAACAATTAAAGAAAGAAGACGATTCGTTGTACCGTTCTCGACACTTAATCCTCGTTTGAATTCAGTTCCACCCCCCCCCCCTCCCGCGCGAAGCGCGGAAGCTTTTACGTTTCATTAAATCATTAGATAAAGAAGACGATTCGTTGTACTGTTTTAGACTCTCAATCCTTGTCTAAATTCAGTCCCCCCCCCCCTCCCCCTCCTGCGCGAAGCGCGGAAGCTTTTACGTTTCATTAAATCATTAGAGAAGAAGACGATTCGTTGTACCGTTCTCGACTCTTTATCCTCGTCTGATTTCAGTTCCCCCCCCCCCTTTTCCGCGCGAAGCGCAGAAGCTTTTACCTTTCATTAAATCATTAAAGATTCGTAATACCGTTCTCGCCTCTGAATGCTTGTCTGAATTCAGTCCCCCCCCCCCCCCCTTCCCACCTCCCCTCCTGCGCGAGGCTTTGACGTAGTATTATTAGAGAAAGAAAACGAAGCGTTGTACCGTTCTTTTACTCTTAATCCTTGTCTGAATATCAAATATGTTCTTTGTATGCTCCTTTTTCTTCCTACGTCCTCTTCCGATTGGGGGGGACCGCCCCCAACCCCCCCCCCCCCCCTGGCTACGCGCCTGCGGTCAGATAAACACATCTTGATACCTTGTCCGACCCCGCAAGCTCAGGGGTTTAAGGCAATAAATTACGGTCAGATAAGCATTCAGGGGCCCGCCTTAGGGCCCCTGGTGGGGTCGAGGCGGCGGAGTCGGCCCCGGAAGCTCAGGGGTTTTAGGCGTTTAATTAGGTCAGATGAGCATATTTTTGTGTATACCTTATTATTTTGTGACACTGGCAAGTCACTATTTGGCGTGGGGTCCAAGGGGCGGAGCCCCAAACAAATCAGGGGTTTTAGGTATTAAATTACCGTCAGATGATCATCTAAGGGTCCGCCGTAGGGCCCTAAATGGAATCCAGGGGCAAACCCCCCGGAAGCTTATGGGTTTTAGGCATTTAATCACGGTCAGATGAGCATATTTTGATGCCCCATTATTTTGTTAACACTGGCAGTTAACTATTCTTACTTTCTTACTCTCATTCTATTTGATTTCTCTCTAAAATACTTTTTCAAGAAAGTGGGGGGGGGGCTCGAGGCTCTCGATCACCGCCGTACCTCGGGCCCTGACATGTAGGAATCTCAAGAATCATATTTTTTGCCTGGTTGTAAATTTAGGAATTTGTCATTTTCCAACAAACACATACAAACGTATAATTTACTAAAAAGTGAGGAAAAATTCGGGAATTATGTCATTTCAGCAGTATTTGTAATCCACCGTTGTGGAATTAGAAATAAACCACGTTTGAATTTGATTTCCCCCAAGCACCCCCCCCCCTATCAGTACGCCAGTATCTCCTCTTTTCCCTTTTTCTTTACCTTTCCTTCCTTCTCTCTTATTTTTTTTTGATTGGGGGGGGGGGGGGGGTTAACAGCCTGGGAGGCAAGGCCCTTTCGGCCCCCCCCCCCCCGATCTCCTTCTTCCCCCTTTTCTTTTCTTCTTCCTCTTCTTTCTTTCCCTTTTTCTCCTTTTTCCCTTTCTCCCTTCTTTTCCTTTCTTCTCTCTTTTTTTTTTTTTTTTTTTTTTGGGGGAGGGGGGGGGGGGGCCAAGGCCCGCTCGGCCACCCCCTGGATCCGCGCCTGGATGCGTGTTCCATGCAGCATCCCCTCCCCCCCCCCCCCCCCCCGTTTCAGCATAAGTCCGGTGTGTAAGGTCGATACAGGTAGATCTTTTTCTTTGTTACGAGCCGGTGTGACCGCACCGTTTGTCCTACCAGTTTCGTTTGTCCGTCGGACATAACATGCGGGTTTTCTGCTCGCATCGATCGTCCGTGACTCGCACGGATCGTCCGAGGGACGATCCGTGCGGTTTGCTATCCGCACAGTCTGTCCTCATTTTGTTTTACGTGTATATTTGATAAAAGGAAGCAACTCGGTAAATCATGTGGTAAACATTTTTTCTAGATATTACATAATAATAACTCTCTACAATTTTTTTAAAGCAAATGGGCCAGTCCTTTTGAAAGTAGAAGTGAATATTTTATTTAAAACCTTTATTCTATGAATATCGGCCCCACAACTGTTGTAATCGATTATACTTTTGTACGTGGCTTCGTTCTTTAACCGACACACTACTAGTATATATGGTGGCCCTGAAGGGACATCGCGAATAGACTAAATCGTGAAAAATATGCGATAAAATTCACGATATCGTCAATTTTATCGCATATTTTTCACGAAGAAATTCACGAAATTGACGATATCGTGAACTTTATCGTGAACTTTTCACGATGAAATTGACGATATCGTGAATTTTATCGTGAAAAGTTCACGATATAAAGTTCACGATATCGTCAATTTTATCGTGTACTCTATCGTGTACTCTATCGTGTACTCTCCTGACGGGCGCTTCGTAAACAAAACCAGCCCTAGCTGGGGGAGACAGAGAGAAGGAAAAAAGGAAAGGGAAAGAGAAGATAAAAGGAAAGAAAGAAGAGGAAGAAGAAGAAAAGAGGGAAACGGGGGCTTTTGCCTCGTCCCCCCGCCCCCCGCCAAAAAATAAATAAGAGAGAGAGAGAGAAGAAAAGGGAAAGAGAAGAAAGAAAGAGAAAAACGAAAAAGAGGGAGAATAGGAAAGAAAGGAAAAGAAAGAAAAGAAAGGAGGCAAGAGCCCTTCGCCCCTGTTTCCCTCTTTTCTTATTCTTTTTCCTCTTCTTTCTTTCCTTTTATATTTTCTTTCCCTCTCCCTTCTCTTTCCCTTTATGGCGGGAGGGGGGAGGGGGAGGTAAGAGCCTTTCGCCCTTCCCCCGTTTCCCTCTTTCCGTCTTCTTCTTCTTTCTTTCCTTTTATATTTTCTTTCCCTTTCCCTTTCCCTTCTCTCTATCTCTCTCTCTCTCTCTCTCCTATTTATTTGTTGGCGCTGGAGGGGGGAGGAGGCAAGAGCCCCTCTTTTCTTCTTATTCTTCTTCCTTTCCTTTTTTATTCTCTTTCCCTTTTCCTTCTCTCTCTCTCTCTCTTATTTATTTTTTGGGCGGGGGATGCAAGAGCCCTTCGCCCCCGTTTCCCTCTTTTCTTCTTCTTCTTCCTCTTCTTTCTTTCCTTTTATCTTCTCTTTCCCTTTCCCTTTCCCTTCTCTCTCTATCTCTTATTTATTTTTTTGGCGGGGGGTGGGGAGGGAGGAGGCAAGAGCCCTTCGCCCTTCCCCCGTTTCCCTCTTTCCTTCTTATTCCTCTTCTTTCTTTCCTTTTATATTTTCTTCCCTTTCCCTTCTCTCTCTTATTTATTTTTGGCGGGGGGGGGGGGGAGGAGGCAAGAGCCCTTCGCCCTTCCCCTGTTTCCCTCTTATTCCTCTTCTTTCTTTCCCTTTCCCTTCTCTCTCTCTCTCTCTCTCTCTCTCTCTCTATTTATTTTTTTGGCGGGGGGGGGGAGGTAAGAGCCTTTCGCCCTTCCCCCGTTTCCCTCTTTCCTTCTTCCTCTTCTTTCTTTCCTTTTATATTTTCTTTCCCTTTCCCTTTCCCTTCTCTCTCTCCTTATTTATTTTTTGGCGGGGGGGGGGAGTGAGGAGGAGGCAAGAGCCCTTCGCCCCCCCCCCGTTTCCCTCTTTTCTTCTTATTATTCTTTCTTTCCTTTTATCTTCTCTTTCCCTTTCCCTTTTTTCCTTCTCTCTGTCTCCCCCAGCTAGGGCTGGTTTTGTTTACGAAGCGCCCGTTAGGAGAGTACACGATAGAGTACACGATAGAGTACACGATAAAATTGACGATATCGTGAACTTTATATCGTGAACTTTTCACGATAAAATTCACGATATCGTCAATTTCATCGTGAAAAGTTCACGATAAAGTTCACGATATCGTCAATTTCGTGAATTTCTTCGTGAAAAATATGCGATAAAATTGACGATATCGTGAATTTTATCGCATATTTTTCACGATTTAGTCTATTCGCGATGTCCCTTCAGGGCCACCATAAGTATATACTCGTGATCCAGGGAAATAAAAGTGAT